TGAGTGTTTCTTGTGATGTGCCGAGTGTCCTTGGCTCATAAGCACTTATCACTTGAGGAAAGAAATATTACTATAGGACTAAGCCCTATATTAAATGGTTTTTCACTGTGATGAAACTCGATTGTTACTTCCATGCCATGTAGATCCACAGCATGTATGCCACCGTTTTTTTCCAAGTCCTGAGCTATTTTCATTTTGTGAATTAAGTTGTAAGCCGTTCTTCTTAATGAAATTTTGCTGAGCTGCAAGAATTGATTCATAACTTCCATCTTGGGTTTTTAAATGTATAGCTTGTCTGTGTTCAGCATGAAAAGCAGTCCTTGGCACCCCAGATCCAAAGCTAGACAGTTATTTCAGTGATCCTCTTGCTCCTGTGTTTATCATTCCTCCTTGGCTTCTGCCTAGCGTGACTGAGTCCAGTTAGAATAACCTCTGCCCATGTTACTTTCTTCTTCAGGACTTCTTAACGGATTTGGTGATGTCTGAGATAGATCGTTGTGGGGAGCATGATGTCTTGATCTTCAGGGAGAACACACTTGCTACCAAAGCTATTGAGGAATACCTAAAATTGGTAGGGCAAAAGTATCTTCACGATGCACTAGGTAAGACAGTACCAACCTGTCTCTTTTTTTTTTTTTTGGTGTTGCAAGGGTTAATCCAGTTGCAGAGAACTGCAACTCAGTTCTCTGCAAGTCAAGGAACTGGATTAGACTCTGTGCTGGAGTCTGGGAGGTGACCCATCCAAGGACGACTGTAGTGGTGAAGCCGGAATGAATCTCCGAGCTCCAGCTTCCCTATTTAACATTCAACCTGTGCCGTGCCAGCCCCATAAATATGGTGGGGTGTCTCCAGTCAGCCCTTCGCTTACATGGTAGCTAACAGCAAGCAACAACAACCAGCCAGAGGGAATGAGGTTTCCGGGCTACTGAGCACCCAGAGCAGGAGCCCGAGGTGCAGAGCAGCTGGGGAGCCTTCTGCCCATGTGTGTGTCCCACGTGCTCCCTGTTTGCAGCGCATGAGACGTGTCTGGCCGGGCTGGGATGATCTGCCCCGCTCACAGCAGGGCCGCGGCGCTCAGCGTTACTCACCAGGGTGGCATCTGGGAATGGCACCTCTTCCCCTTCCCGCCAAAAGGTTCTGCTCCCACCACAGCCCTGCGAGGGGCTGTCCCTACAGCTGCTGTCGCCATAAGGAGCACTGAAAGATGTTCGCTGCCTTCCCGGGAAGCTCTCGGCCTCTCTGTAATTAGCTCTTCCCAGCTTGATGGTGACGTCTTTCTTAGCCAAGATTGCCCAGGGAGCCACCCATGCCCCTGTTGTTTCTTGGATGAAGAAAGCTTTGGAAACTGATACAAGAGAAATTGGAGCAGGCCAGAGCCAAGTCCCGCACCACATCCTTTCACAAAGAGCAAGACCCAGCCGCCTTTCCCGGCAGTCTGGCCCAGCCTCAGCAAGCCTAGACGCTGGCAAGTCATCAAGGAGCTAGCTGGCTAAATTAGTCAGGCTGCCAAGGGTCAGGAGAGCCAGGTCTGTGATTATGTGCTTCTTGGCCACGTTTTAAATGTAATGAGCCTGTGCTGGTAGTCTCGTTCTCATGGGTGGAACCTCTGAAGCACAAGTCACATCCCAGGCCCTTACCTGCCGTGGAGAAGCGAGCAGCATATTTACTTGGTGCTGTGCTTTTCGGCAGAGCAAATCGTCAGCTGTGGCCCCGGTATATTACATTTGGCTGCAAGCCCTTTAATATGCAGTAATTGCACGGAGATATTTTAAAATTAATGACTTTTATCCCGTCGTCTAGAACATTGGTGCTGAGTGATAAGACTGTAAATCATAGATGTTGGAGATGGAAATATGCCATCAGTCGTGCAGCCTGTCTGGCGCCCAGGGCAAGGCTGGTCGTGACAATATATCCCTCTCATGCTTCATCACGTGCTGCATGTCGCTAGGCAGTTCACTCTGATGCCGTGCTCTTTGAAAGAGTTAGGGACATTACGTTGGGGTGAGCTGTTTATTTTATCTGCGAGAGCGTCTCAATACATGATTAAGAGCCTTGTGGACCACAAAGAGTGTCTTTCAAAGACATTTAAGGGAAAA